ACCGCAGCAAAGTAGCTAAGCTTTATAAAATGAACGTAATAATATTTAGTGCGAATGCTGTGCCTTTCCACTATAGTACTTCAATTTTTCTTTATTCTTCCCCTTATTAGTGTGAATGCTGTGCCACAGCATTCCACTATAGTACTTCAATTTCTTTATTCTTCCCCTTAAAAAAATTATTATTATTATTTCAACCATACTTTGGCTCTCCATAACTTCAGCTTACTTTCAGCTACAGAAACCATTCAATATCAACTATTCAGCCTGTTCAGGAATCGATGGGAAACCTTCAACTTTTTAAAAATATGTTATACTTTTTGAAATATTCAGCTTTTTAAACTCTTTTTTTAACATTGAAGTCAATGGAGATGCCTTCAAATCCTCTTTTCCTACACTTTGCGCCAAATGCTACTCCTTCCACATACTTTCAGCTAGACACTTCATTCCAACTTTCAAATGATCACAACACTACTTCAGCTATTCAACTTGACTTTTATTTTTGATATCTTTACACTTCTTGATATAATTAACTTTGTTTGGAGCTTGGTAAAGAGGCTTTCTTCAGATTTTAACATTAGTGTGGATGGAGCAGCTCGTTAAGTCTAGAGTGCTTTGATCTCAAAACAGAGTGCAGCAGTGCTCCCCAAAAATGTTTTAAACTTGCCATAATTCCCAAACCCTACACTCCTCAGACATATTTTTTCATGAAAAACGTAGGAAAACCTCTCCTAGGTTGGAAAATTAAAAAAATTAAGAAGAAATATTAAACAAAATGCCTCTTGAGGGCATGAAGAGACAAAAGTCCACCTAGCTCCCAATTGATTCCAATGTTAAATCTTTCCGGAACTTTCTTCAGAACAGAGAGAAGTACACTTTAGACAAACTGCTCCCATCTCCACATTTTACACACAAAACCAAAAAAAAAAAACATATTCATTGGGGTTCCCTGATGCTCACGGTCTGGTCATTTTTTGATAGGAGCCATGGTTTTTGAACAGGTGGCAAAATTGTCAGATACAAACCTCAATGCATTCTTAATGGGACTCAGTGCTGCAGTGGGTAAATTGTCATAAGTCGTCACCATGGTAACCTTTCATCTCTGGGTTTACACACACAGGTGTTTGTAAACATTCACCACTACCCTACCTCTCTCTCTCTCTCTCTCTCGTTTTTGAACAGGTGACACAATTGTCAGATATACTCCTCAATGCATTCTTATGGGACTCAGTGCTGCAGTTGGTTGTCTTTGATCTCTGGACACACACACAGGTGTTATGAGTAGGTGCTCAGGAACAGAAACAACACTGACAGACTGGACTTTAACAGACTGTCTCAGCCTATTATTTTCTGTCCGATGGAGACTTCATACTACTTACATCTGATATTTAACTCCTTCAGCCTAATTTCAGCTGCAGAAACCATTCAACTATTAACTTATTCAGCTATTTCAGGACATTGAGGCTATCAATGTTGTTGTTTATACCTTTTTAAACCTTTTCTTTTAAATATTAAGCTTCTTCACTATTGTTCCTACTCTGCAATGCATTTGAGCTTGTAACAATTTTGATTCAAATCATTTCACTTTTTCTGCATTTCTCTGCTAAGTTCAGCAACACACTGACTTGGTCTCTGTAGTTAAAAGCAGCTACCATTCAGCTAATAACATATTCAGCTTTTTCTGCATTTTCAGCTAAATTCAGCCACAAATGTTCACAGTTACAGCATTCGCACGCATTTTCTGCAGGAAATGCATTTCTAGTTATTTCAACCATACTTTGGCTCTCCATAACTTCAGCTTACTTTCAGCTACAGAAAACCATTCAAATAATCAACTATTCAGCCTGTTCAGGAATCGATGGGAAACCTTCAACTTTTTAAAATATGTTATACTTTTGAAATATTCAGCTTTTTAAACTCTTTTTTTAACATTGAAGTCAATGGGAGATGCTTCAAATCCTCTTTTCCTACACTTTGCGCCAAATGCTACTCCTTCCACATACTTTCAGCTAGACACTTCATTCCAACTTTCAAATGATCACAACACCTTCAGCTATTCAAACTTGACTTTTATTTTTGATATCTTTTACACTTCTGAGATAATTAACTTTGTTTGGAGCTTGGTAAAGAGGCTTTCTTCAGATTTTAACATTAGTGTGGATGGAGCAGCTCGTTAAGTCTAGAGTGCTTTGATCTCAAAACAGAGTGCAGCAGTGCTCCCCAAAAAATGTTTTAAACTTGCCATAATTCCCAAACCCTACACTCCTCAGACATATTTTTTCATGAAAAACGTAGGAAAACCTCTCCTAGGTTGGAAAATTAAAAAACATTAAGAAGAAATATTAAACAAAATGCCTCTTGAGGGCATGAAGAGACAAAAAGTCCACCTAGCTCCCAATTGATTCCCATGTTAAATCTTTCCGGAACTTTCTTCAGAACAGAGAGAAGTACACTTTAGACAAACTGCTCCCATCTCCACATTTTACACCCAAAACCAAAAAAAACAACATATATCAGTTCATTGGGGGTTCCCTGATGCTCACGGTCTGGTAATTTTTTGATAGGAGCCATGGTTTTTGAACAGGTGGCAAAATTGTCAGATACAAACCTCAATGCATTCTTCATGGGACTCAGTGCTGCAGTGGGTAAATTGTCATAAGTCGTCACCATGGTAACCTTTCATCTCTGGGTTTACACACACAGGTGTTTGTAAACATTCACCTCTCTCTCTCTCTCTCTCTCTCTCTCTCTCAGACACATCAAGAGAAATGAGAGAGGGTGATAGAAGAGTGATAGGGTGATCAAGAGAGAGAGAGGGCGATCAAGAGAAGAGAGAGAGAGGGCGATCAAGAGAAGAGAGAGAGAGGGCGATCAAGAGAAGAGAGAGAGGGTGATCAAGAGGAGAGAGAGAGGGCGATCAAGAGGAGAGAGTGGGGCGATCAAGAGGAGAGAGAGAGGGCGATCAAGAGGAGAGAGAGAGGGCGATCAAGAGGAGAGAGAGAGGGCGATCAAGAGAGAGAGAGGGCGATCAAGAGGAGAGAGAGTGGGGCGATCAAGAGGAGAGAGAGTGGGCGATCAAGAGGAGAGAGTGCGATCAAGAGAAGAGAGAGAGGGCGATCAAGAGAAGAGGGCGATCAAGAGAAGAGAGAGAGGGCGATCAAGAGAAGAGAGAGGGCGATCAAGAGAAGAGAGAGAGGGCGATCAAAAGGAGAGAGAGGGCGATCAAGAGGAGAGAGAGGGCGATCAAGAGGAGAGAGAGAGGGCGATCAAGAGGAGAGAGAGTGGGCGATCAAGAGGAGAGAGAGAGGGCGATCAAGAGGAGAGAGAGAGAGGGCGATCAAGAGGAGAGAGAGTGGGTGATCAAGAGGAGAGAGAGGGCGATCAAGAGAAGAGGGCGATCAAGAGAAGAGAGAGAGGGCGATCAAGAGAAGAGAGAGAGGGCGATCAAGAGAAAAGAGAGGGCAATCAAGAGAAGAGAGAGAGAGGGCGATCAAGAGAAGAGAGAGAGGGTGATCAAGAGGAGAGAGAGGACGATCAAGAGAGAGAGGGCGAGCAAGAGAAGAGAGAGAGAAGACAGAGAGAGGGCGATAGAAGATTGAGAGGGTGATCAAGAGAAGAGAGAGGGCGATCAAGAGAAGAGAGAGAGTAATGTAACCTAATATAATGTATAACTACTATGAAAATGTTCAAAAAGTGCTCAAACTTCACATGTGTGCTAACAGTCCAGCCGTGAAGACATCTACGGGACAGTTTTGAGATTTCTTCAAATGCCGTTGCCATGGCAACACAATGCTCACCATGAAACACGGTTTTCTCATAACTTCAGTGAAAATGCTCGAAATGGCCCAAAACCTCACAGGTTTGGTAACGATGCAGCCATCAACACATCTAAGCGTATTATGGGGTGTCATCAAATGCCGTTGCCATGGCGACAGATAATTCACCATCAAGTTAGTTCAAAAGTTTGTAGTTCAAATATTCTGCTGCTTTCCCAAGCCTTTTTACTTTCTTTTCTCATCTTAATACAAATTCATTCACTACTACTTACATCTGATATTTAACTCCTTCAGCCTATTTTCAGCTGCAGAAACCATTCAACTATCACATTATTCAGCTATTTCAGGACATCAAGGCTATACATGTTTGTTTAAACCTTTTCTTTTAAATATTAAGCTTTTTCTCCATTTTTGTAGCTAAAAGCAGCTACCATTCAGCTAATAACATTCGGCTTTTTCTGCAGTTTCAGCTAAATTCAGCCACAAATGTTCACAGTTTACAGCATTCGCACGCATTTTCTGCAGGAAATGCATTTTCTAGTTAGATCTTGTTATTGTGTGACTATGGTGTTTTAAAGGGTTATTCAGATTCAATAAAATCACACAAAAACACCAACAAACAAACCCAATCAGGGCACCAGCGGACAAGCAACTTATGTGAGGTAAAATGAGGAGTCTAGTGGCTTTAAAGAGAGCATGGATAACGGCTTCAGTATCCTGTCTGAAAGGGCTCTGATGGAAATGGAAAGAATATAAATTCTAAATATAGCTTTAAATCCCTTAAACTAGCTGCCTTTATAGACAGGTGTACACATTTATTAAGATTTATTTACTTATGAACTAAAAGTCACATTAGCTAACAAATGTAACCTGTAACAATCATTTTCGCTGCTACCACTGAAGTTCACTGCTCTGCTTCTGTGAGGCGACTCCCCTTGATTATGTCACACTGCATTGTTTCTCAAACTTTTTCATACCAAGGACCACTTAACCAATAAAACACTCAAGGACCACTTAACCAATAAAACACTCAAGGACCACTTAACCAATAAAACACTCAAGGACCACCTAAGGCAAGGCAAGGCAATTTATTTGTATAGCACAATTCATACAGTGTACACAATTCAAGTGCTTTACAGGATCAAACAGATACAAACATAATACATTTGAATATGGTCAAAGTGAGAACAAATACAAAAACACACAAAACAAGTAAAATAAAGAAAAACATGTTTAACAGTTCAAAAAATAGAAAATTAAAAAGCCATGTTAAAAAGAAATGTTTTTAGACCTGATTTTAATGATTATAAAGTGCTAACCATTCTCAGATGTTCTGGGAGTTTGTTCCATGCATTAGGAGCATACATGCAGAAAGCTGCTTGCCCACGCTTTGATCTCACAAATGGAACAGTGAGCCGGCCTGAAGACCTGAGGGGTCTGCTGGATTCGTACCGCTGAAGGAGGTCTGCTGGCGTCTGCTAGAAGATCTCCATCACCAGCTCTGATGCTGCAAAGTAGCTAAGCTTTATAAAATGAATGTAATAATAAAAATAACCGAGACCATGGAGTCCAGGTCTCTCCAGGTCTCTCCAGGTCTCTCCAGGTCCGTCCAGGTCCGTCCAGGTCCTGCATCTATCCCTGGATCTCTGGAGAACAAATACAATCAGTAAGTGATGAACAATGCAAGTGTTGTAATGCACGTTACCACATTAACTTGTAGATGTATAGAGTTATATCCCATCTAAGATAATACATAGAATCTTGCAGTTTGAAAGTGTAATGGAAATGATGATTAAGAGTTATTAGAGCTACAGGGAAATCCATGGAGCCGTCGCTCTTCATGAGCACACAGCTCGGTGCAGGAGAATCCAAAGGGAAAGGAAGAAAACCTGGACTAATAGTGTCTGATATGGATCATCTCAAGATAAAGGAGCATTACATTTAAATAAAGAATAAGGACGAGGATAGTTACACTCTGAAGACAGTTCAGCTCAAAAGGTTCTGTTGACCTACATAGACATTGACTCTTACCGCTAGAAAGAAACATGGAGCCGTCACTCATCATGGACTCACAGCTCGGTGTAGGAGAACCTGCTCTTTCCTCCTCAGTACTGGAGCCAAAGCTGCGTTCACTGACAGGGAGAAATGTTAGGAGTTTATATATTTGTACCTCAAGAGACCCTCAATGAGCCTTTTAGGTGTTTGACCTCTCAATGCTTAATCTTCTATTACTGGTTTTTAATTGTGAACATTCTTTTTTTATTTTATCAATAAATCAATGAAACAGCACCAAAATATACAGATTAAAATCCAGCCTTTGAATGTAAACTGGACTTGGATTATTTAAAGAGGGAATTACAAATTGATTAATAAATTACTCGTTATATTCCATTTCCTAATTCTTGTTTTTTTAAAGACCTAATCTTCTTTTTGAAAGTCAAAACTGAATGTAAAAGTATTCCTGTTTAATAAAGTAGAAAAACAACTCATTCAGGTTTCCCTGATAACAATCAGGAGAAGTGAATACCTGGGGGAGAAAGGACCATGGTCATGGGACCAGAGGTTCCACCTATAAAAGGAGAATAAATAAAGACAGAAGTTATTTAATTCCTACAGTTCTTCTTCTTTCTTGTGGTATTTCTTAATGAAACATCAATGAAAACGTGTTATTATCCCAGTGTGTTGACTTCACTCTGCTTTCATCAGCATGTCCAATCTGCCCACTGATAACACATAGAAACCAGATACATGTGTTTGATGTAGCTTAGTATATATATTCAACCTTTACTCTGTATGTACTTTCACCTGTTAAAGTTCAGAGTTTAACTCGTGTCATTTTAGGTTTTTATGATTCATACTATCACTACATGTTTATTTGTATTCTATATATTTCCATAATCTAAAGAAAAATCTCATTACATTTAAATAAAAAATAAGGACTAGGCAAAAAGATATAAATCAACAATGCAGGAAAAGTAAATTAGTGTTAAATTATATAGTTTTACTCTCAAGACAATTCAGATCAAAAGGTTCTGTTGACCTTCATATACATGGACTGAAAAACGAAAGATTCTTACTGTATCTTCCTGATCTCACGTTCTAATGCAGGATAATCTTCTCTCTCCTCCTCAGACCTGCAGAGATGGAGCGTTGACAGACAGGTGGAAGGTTCAGGAGCTTACTGACTAAAACATGGTGTTACAAATGTCCTCTCATAGCAAAACATGTTTGACAAAGGAGGTCAGCTGGACTAGTGTTTCTCAAATGGGGGTGTGTGTACCCATCGGTGCACTTTGGAGTACTCTGGAGGGGCTGAGAGATTAAAGAAGAAGTTACATTACATGATTCTTTTGTTATTTATGATTTTTAAACTCATCAAAACCTTAAAAACATATTTATTTTAAGTAATTAAACTAGGAGGAAGAGGAGGAGGAGGAAGAGGAGAAGGAAGTGGAAACCTGGTCTAAATGTGTCTGATCTCCATCATCTATAGAAAATGGCTGACCTACCTTTAATGTAAATCATACCGTTTCAAAGACAGAGGTAGATGGACATGGCTAACAACATTTCTAACGTGAACAAGCATGATCTACATCATGGGTCGGCAACAGGCGGACCGCGGTCCGGATCCGGACCCAGACGCCGACCTATACGGACCCGGACCTATACGGACCCGGACCTATAATCAATACATCAATAGGGGATTTCAATTTTGACGGGGCGATTCTATTTTAACCGCTGCCGACAGGGGGTGAAAGAGACGAGTGAGCGATACAGGGAGAGAAACACAGAAGAAGAGACGAGAGCGCGGCAGAGAGAAGCGGAGAGGAAAGTGAGTAAAGAGAATAATTAGCGATACAGGCAGAGAAGACGGAGAGGAGAGTGAACAGGCGTGTTAGCGGCAGACAGGGAGAGACAAATAATTACTAGGGCTGTCAGTCGATTAAAAATATTTAATCGCGATTAATCGCATGATTGTCCATAGTTAATCGCGATTAATCGCAAATTAATCGCACATTTTTTATCTGTTCTAAATGTACCTTAGAGGGATATCTTTCAAGTTTTTAATACTCTAATCAACATATGAGTGGACAAATATGCTTTATATGTTTGTTTATTATCATTTGAACAATGACAAATATTCTCATGAATATTAAACACAACAACCTGAACATTAAAAATATTCGCTTCAATTCAACCTGGAACCTCTCTCATACAATAATACTGTGTGTGTGTGTGTGTGTGTGTGTGTGTGTGTGTGTGTGTGTGTGTGTGTGTGTGTGTGTGTGTGTGTGTGTGTGTGTGTGTGTGTGTGTGTGTGTATCGTTGGAGCTATGTGCAGCTCAAGGCATATATGCTCCAACGGGAGCTGCCTGGATGCTGCAATCATGTTGCGCGCACTATCCGTGCTGAGTGTGCTGACTTTTCGTACAATCGTACTCCCACTGTCTGGCTACCTGCATAAAGTCAAGTGCTCGGCGCAGTTGTCGGCGAAATGTCATTGAAACAGCTCCTTATATCCGTTAGCGCAGCTAGCTAGCACCAGATGCTAACAACAACACCCTCCCGGTCCTCCCGATGGCCAGTCCGGGCCTGCCAGTGAGCGTGGAAGTGTGGTCTGCCACAAGCGGGAGGCAGGAGCGGGGCTGTCAGCATCAGCTTGTCGATGGTATTTTAAACTCGATGCGCTCTGAAACTACGGCGGCCGAGGACAAAAAATACACATGCGTTAATCGCGTTAAAATAATTAGTGGCGTTAATTTTTGTTTGCGTTAACGCGTTATTAACGCGTTAACTTGACAGCCCTAATAATTACACATGGCGCTCTCCAAGAAGAGGAAAGTGGACAGTGAGAACAGAGCTTTTAACCCTGAGTGGACGGACTCATTCATGTTCATCCTGCCCACTGGGAGCACAGAACCAGTGTGTCTCATTTGTTCATTGACCGTGGCGCTCAAGCAGAATACAAAAATCAAGTAACTGTATTCAGCTCACGTTATATTTGAAAAACGAGTAATCTGATTACAGTTACTTTCGTAACCTGAAGTGAATACATTTTGGAATACTTATGGGAATTATTGGTGGAAAAGTTTCCCCATAAAATGTAATAGTCATTACCAGCAGAACTGTGTGCACAGCGCTGCAGCGTGTCTGTGAGCGAGAGAGATGCAGCGTGTCTGTGAGGCCCCGCCCCCGCACGCAGATCAGAGAGAGAGAGATCTCTTTTAAAATATATTGAAAGTTAGAAACGGAGATGGTTCGATAAAATGTGCAAGATAACGTTTATGTAGCATTTCTTTATTGTCGAAATGATGACATTTCATAACGGGATCAAATCAAAGTGAATGGCCTGCTGCTGCTGAATGCATGGGGCAAGTGACTGGAAACAGTTTTAAAAGTTATTACGTCGTTTCAGATAATAAATAATAATGATAATTCATTCTATTTAGGGGCGCCTTTCAAAGCACCCAAGGACACCTGACAATTCATAACATATTCTAAGGAAAGGTTTAAGAGAGTACAAATAATGCAGTCCGGGTGATGTTTTTTATGTGGGGTGCAGATGAGGGAGCTGTCCAGAATGACACCAAGATGTTGTGTTTGAGTTGTGCTCTTGATAAGCCATTAAAACAGTAAAATAAGTGTCTCCTGGTCACCAAAACATACCGTTATGGAAAAATAAAGTATTCCAAAAGTATTCTAAAAGTAATCTGAATACGTTACTTTTTTAAGACACGTAACTGTAACTGTATTCTGATTACTTTCAGAGCCATGTATTCAGTATTCAGTAACCGATTACATTTACAAAGTAACCCTCCCAACCCTGATTAAAAGTGCCAAAACGCCACTATGAGACAAAACACAAAGTGTTTGACCAAACATTCCCTCTCAAGTCAGAACTGAGGTCACAAAAAATAAGCAGTCTCAGAGCCCAATATGATCAGTCGACCAGGATCAAAATTAAAACTAAATATCGTTCCAGGGCAGGCTAACCGAGGCTAACCGAGGCTAACCAATGAGCACCTGCATGTGTATGAGAATGGCCCTGACACCATTTCAGCCCAGATTTAAACTCCTGGCAGGACAAGCTCAAGCTCAATTCTCGCACTGAATTAAAACAAAGTGAGTGAGGGACTGCAATATAAGAGGGAAAGAAAGAGAAACTTTAAAACTGTTCAATTGTTATAATGTGTAAAGACTGATATGTTCTATAATCGTCTGAAACTGTTAAGTCATGATGTGAAACGGTTAACAAAGCTATTTTATTTATTTCTCTATTTTATTTTTAAATGCAGCCCGAGAGGAACATTACACATATCCACAGTATTTACTGTATATCTGTATCGTTCAATGTTCATTGACAATAAATATTGTTGTTTTTGAATTGTACTTTCTTTATTTGATTGGCAGTCGGTTGTTGATGACATGCAGACGTTGATAAAGCTACAGGCTAATTCAATATATATCACACTAATTCATAAAGCAAGTTAGACATTTTGATGTTCCGGACCTTTGCATGGGGAGATTTTCTCTAACTGGACCTCGTTGAATTTTAGTTGAATACCCCTGATCTACATGATGGACATATTCCCCCTGCTGTTCAGAGGGACACTCAGTTAAAGTGAACCTATCATGCTATATTATAATAATATAGCATGATAGGTTCACTTTAAGGTATCGTGAAAGAATGGTTTGAGAAACTTCATAATGCTTTAAGTAAGGGATAATGTGCAGCGACGCGGTCATTATGGGGAAAAGAACACCGACAGGCTGATCAGGAGCCAGATGCGAAGCGGAGGGATCTAGATCTGCATGAAGGTGTTCTTTTCCCCATAATGACCAAGTCGCTGCACATTATCCCGCTTATTACATGGCCACATTCTCAACAAAGTAACGATATGACTCCCAATATTAATTGAAATGCTTTTATGGATTTAGAAAATAGTTGTATGTATTGATTTAAATTGACATGCATCCGCTAAGGAAAATAGTCCGTTGTTACTGTTTGAAAAACGTAGCAACGGCAGGAAGGCGGAGCTTTTTGATTACAGATTTGAAAACATCGTTGCTTGCTTTAAAAGTAGCACAATTCATGATGTCAAACCTTGGAAAGTATCTAGATATCCCTGCCCTAATGCCAAAGGAACTGCACACTGAATATGTTTTGCCGTTTGATGTCTATGTCTGGACTGCTGCGTAAAAAGGAGGGTTTCTGCCCGTTACTTCTCCGCTGTTTTCTTGTCGCTCTTGTCTTGTCAGTTAGAAAAGCAAACTGCATGGAGTTTGCTTTTCGGCCAAACTGTATACAGTTAAATCGAACGGACTTGTTTGTGCAGATGTGAGCGTCCTTAACAACGGTCAATAAGTCCTTGACAGCGGTCTGTCTGTTCTGGATTAACAACGTGTCACGTGTTCTGAATTGACCAATCAGAATCGAGTATTCAACTAAGCCATGGAATAAAGTCTGATAACTATCATCTAAAGGGAAATGTGCATCACATTAAAGTTAGATATATGGACGAGGCGCACATTGTTATCAGCACTGCAGATAAGTTAGTGTTAAATAAAACTGATATACTCTTAACCTGTTACGCACGGCCCCCCCGGTACCGGGCGGATAAACGCGTCATTTGCAGGAAACAACGTCTAAGGAATCTTAATATTTAATAAAACTATGAATGTTTTATATCCATGTAACGGGAAGAAACTCAGCTAACTGATCTTTTTAATTATTTTTTCCAAAAAAAAACCACAATGCTAACACTCAGCCTCTGAATTAGCCATGAGCGAAAACATTTAACCTAAAACGGCACTTAAACTCACAATAACTCCCTATCCTAGATGCACAACCAACCACTAGTTTTTGGTGTCCTGGAGACACTGAATCTGGGGGTGCCCTCCTCAACACTCAGTGATAAACATTTGTGACGCTATAAACGAAAGCGTACATCATAACATGTGGAGCTAAGTAGCTAGAAACGCTAACATGGCTTACCTTGGTCAAAACTGGTCTTCAATGGCATTAGACGATAAAAAAAACGATGCTGCAGTTAATCCATAGGTTCATACAATGTGTCTGTGTCCTCTTTGAAATTATTTCTGATAATCCATAAGCAATAAAACTGCTTTTTAG